GTAAAGTGGAACTGCTCCTTCATCAAAGTCTCAGGGCTGTGGTTTCCCCGTCCTTCATGAAGAGCCAGCTGGGAAATCGGTCCACAGAGGAACCCTGCTTGTAACAGCTTTATTAGAAAACGCAGCAGCATTTTCCTCCCCCCCAGGCTGGCACAAGCACAGCATCCAGACAAGTTGCTTCTGCCCCACACTAGGACCCAGCTCTGCCACTCCAGCCACCCTCCCCTGGGACACGTCTGCAGCCCCTCTGCCTCCATGCAGCTCCCAGGAGGAAAGCAGCAGAGAGAATGGCTCACCAAGGCTGGCTCCTAACACCGTCACCCTCGCTGGATACACCGTTTAGAGTTAAGTCCCTCTGTCTGTCAGAAAGGATTCCAGCAGCAATCTAGAAGTGGAGGGCATGCCAGAAATGTCCAAGGACTCGGGGACATATGGCAAGAGAAACCACTGCCCGTGAAACCCACGCTTCCTAAGCATTTCTAACTAAGTGCTTATAAGTGATGTCTTCTTCCCCCTACCAAAAAAGGGGAGGAATTTAGTCTTATTTTTAGTAGCTCTTGGTCATCATTGTTACATTGTTCTCTCAATATACAGCCCCCCCACCCCCTTCAGGGACTGTAGAATCAGTCTGTCACCTCCATTTACCTCCAAGAAGGATGTGCTGACCATGAAGCCACCCTCATGTCCTGGGTCCCTACTCTCTAAACCACTGCCCACACCTGGACATTGACTCCACACCACACTCCAGGAAGAACAATCTAGAGTGCAGAGCTGCTGGTGAGAAGCAATTCTGTGCCTGTCCTATAGCTGAAGGCCACAGGGCAGACATCCCTCCCGTGGGCCCACTTCCTGTCAGTGGCTCTCCTGAGGAATTCTTGTGAGTGCTGAGGGAACAAACACTTCTTCCTGCCTTGAAGGGAGCATGGAGCATGTTCTCTACTTGTTGAGTGAATGAATGGACAAATGAAAACTTGGTGGGAGTTGAGGAAACAAGCACAGTACCAGCCTCTCGTAGACCGTGGTAAAGGATAATACAGGCATGTCTCACTACTGATGGCAGAGCAGTGCCACGCCTAGGGCTCCTTGTAAACAGAGCAATTGGGAGATGGAGCAGGTGAGAGGAAGGAAGTCTGGAGCAGTGTGGATGCAGACAGGAAGAGCAGATTTTCGGCTGGCAGGCAGGTCACAGGTGGAAGCAGGTGAGTAAAGGAGGAAGTACGCAGTGGGAAAGCCCAGGCTGAGGCACTTAGACCTCCTCCCAGAAAAGGTGATCAGGAAAAGCCATGGCTTTGGGAGGATGGATGGGAGTAGCAAGCGGGGAGTGGCTCCATGAGTCTACTTCCTCTTTAGGAATGAGTGAAAATGACATTGATTCAACAGCAGTGAGGGGCCTCATCTCTATTCACTCCTGCCTTTGAATTAAATGACTTTTTCTTTGCACTGTCAACTGTAGGCCCTAAAACACCTGTCACTATAATCAGTGTGCCTGTCCAAGTGGTTCTGTACCAGAGGCGGTGGAGACAAGGTGGTGTTTCCTTAATCTGAGACAATGCTGTTCTGACATCTCAGATGGCAATGCTACCTTGTTCCTTAATAGTGACTGTTCTGTGCAGCCCAGTGACCTTTGCTGTCCATCAGGACAGCAGGAAACCCACTCACAAAGCTAAGGACTCAGCTCCACTGGGCTCCCCACAGGCCTGCAAAGGCCTGCGTGATTCTTTTCCTGATGGGCCATTTCTTCTTCAGCTGGGGACACATACACAGCACTGAAATATAAACAGTGTTTAAGGAAGATCAGAGTTCGGGTCCAAGACCCAAGAGGTCCCCAGTTCTATTCCCTACATCTCTGCTAATGGCTGGCCCTCTCCTCTACTCACCTTCTCATAGGCATTGTTAAACCTGTGTGCCCGAGCAGATCAAAGGAGATGTTGGAATGAATGTCTGGTAACCTAGAAGGCTGAGCTGACATTCTTAGAATCCATGAGCTGTTGCTGGGACTGGTTTTGTGATTAATCATGTCAGTTGCTGGTCTTATATCAAATTGTTACTCCAACTTGTTTTGGAACATTTGAAAATACACAGGCAGGCAAAAAGGAATCAAACCCTCGTCACCCCACCATCCAGAGATAACCACACGTTGCCCTATAAATTCCTGGGCTTTCTTTCCATGTACATATATACTGGGGGCTTCTTAAAATGTGCTGCACAGTGCTGTTTTGTAGCCCGATGACTCCGTACACCCACCACACAGATCTGTCCATGGTTTACACGCCTTCATTTTTAATGACCGCCTGGTGTCTGCTGTGCCCGTCAATTTGCTGTATTGTTTTTCCCTGCTGCCTGTGATTCTGCAACTTAAGCCACTGCCCAGTATAAGACAGTGCTGAGGTTTAGCCAATTATAGTTCTTCATTAAGAATGAAAAGAGCATCTGCAGCCCTCAGAAGGGTGGGCCAGTGTCCCCCTCCTTCTCAAAGGTGTCCAAGTGGCAGCAGCAACCTGCCATTAGCCAGTCGGGCTGGGGACATGGAAAAGAGGAACTGGCTGCATTTCTCACAGGACATCTTTGGAGCTGCTTTAAAAAAAAAAAAAGTAGAAGAAATGTTTAGTAATTGTTTTCGAGGCTCAGTGGCAGAACAAGATGGAGTCCTTGATTTCTAGCCTCCTGCTGCACCGTTCAAAATTCCTCCCAGAGAGACAGGCAGGGAGCAAACGGAAACGCTCTGATTGTAAAATTTGCATCCTGTCTTAGCTGGGGATCATCCCAGAGGACATCTCACATCACACTGTACTTGTTTGTAAAGATCTTTCACCCAAGACCGACCACTTCTCCACACACTGCTGATGTGAAGGCTAGAGAAACACAAAGGGAGAATTAAAAATACCTCAAGTGTCCAGGAAGAAATATGAGTGGATTTAAGAGCGGCCCCTGGCAGCTCAGAAACCTCCAGTGGATGATGGTTCAGTCTCCAAGTTAGGTAACTGATAGGGAAGGCAGCAGCTACATGAGGAAAAGCTGAAAGATGGAAATGAATGAAATGCCATTTGTTCAATGTGCTTTTAGGGGATACCAATAATGGGCGAGGCACCAAGCTAGGCCATGAGAATCAAGCACCCTAAAGCCTCCATTTCTGTGCTCAAGGAGCCAGCAGAGAGAAGACAAAGGTGCCAATACACATTGGGAATATGGTGTAACAAGTGTCCTGCCCACACAGACAAGGCACAGGAAAATACATAGGTGTGGCCCCTCTGGCCAGAGCACTGAGAAGGCTTCTAAGAGGAAGAAGAAGGAAGATAGGAACGGGGGAGGCATCATGGGAGGCAGGCAACCCAAGAAGGAGGCATGGGAGTGCAAAGCAGGAGGGTGGTTCCAGAACTGCACCTGGGCAGGTAGGAGAGAAACCTCAGCAAGCTAAGCGGCTAAGGCTTTGGGAGCGGGCCCTGGAGCAGCCTGAGTCCTGGGAGGCTTTATCCAGCAGCAGGAGGCGCTGCTGAGTTTTAAGCAGGCGCAGGTGTGCTGATTCACATTGGAAAGGCTCTTTCTGGGTGGCCTAGAGTTGCTAGATTGGAAAGCTGGCAAATAAGGGGACTTGTGAACATTCTAGCAAAAAACAATCTAGTCTCTCAAAGGACAGTGGCAGTGAGAATGGAGGGAGGAAGCTGTTCAAGTGATTATTGATGAGATGGCAACAACGGGGCTGAGTGACCAGTTGCAGTGGAGGATGAGGGAGAGGCAGGAGGGCAGAGAAAAAGCAAGTAACTGACAGCAAAGCCCCTAAGGATGCTGAAGATGATGCCGTCTGGCGAGGAGACCCCCTTCCTTAGACAAAGGGAAGATGAAGGGAATAAAAGTTGTAAAAAGAGATTCCAACAGGTCACAGAACAGACTCCTTTGCAAGAGGCAGGCAGGCAAAGGAGTTCCCAGAACACACTCTGAATGGACGAGTAGGCTGCTGAAGGGAAGAAGAGGGGAGGCTGAGCTCAAGGACAGTGTTTTGACCTTCAAAACTGGGAAGCAGTAATTAGCTGGAAGACACCAAATACACACACACACACACACACCCCAGGCCAGCAGAGACCAAGGCCAGTTTCCATCCATGGTGCCTTCTCTACAGAGCTGAGCAACCACATAAAGAGCAGGTGGGAATGAATGAACTCCAGTTGAAGACATGGCCATTTGATGGAGGGGACAGTCATAGGGGAAATGAGGACCAGAGAGTGACTCAGCACTGCCCAGGGAAGGAAGGGAAGCCATGAAGAGCTGGGAGAGTAGAGGGACCAAGGACACATGGACTGTCTGCTCATGTCACAGCACACATGGCAAACAGAGCCAACAGCTGTGGATGAGCAGAAGGACCAGAGGCTGTGGTCTGCCATCAGACACCAAAACTGGAGCAACCCAACCATGGCAATGTCTAGGAGGTGACCAAGGGAGCGAATGGCCAGCCCATTGGAGAAAGGGCTGTGACTGTTCCCTCATTCTTAGGCTGGGGCAGGCTGTTTCCCACCAGGTGCTAGGCCAAGACATCCAGCATGGGCTGCCTGGTCAGCAGCCATCATCCTAGCACAGGACAGATGTTCAGAGTGTTCCCAGGGGATGGGAGAGTCACTGAGAAAGCCACTGTCCTGGACCCTAACTACTAGGTACCTGCACTGTCGTTTGGACCACAGTATCTTCCCAAGTAACACCAAGCAGCTTCAGTTTCATCTGAACTTTCATCTTAACTCTGAATTCTTATGCAATGACCCATTTGGTAACTGGCGAGGCGTGGACTCCCAGTGTTTGCCATAATGTCATTCTTCTCCCAACTCAGTTTGAATTCCTGTAGCCTTAACACTGGAGACTCGAACTCCTGCCCTGTTTCTAGGGGTCATCCTTGGTATGTAGGCGACCTACCTCGCCGCATAACCTCCAGCCTTGGGATAGCGGGTCAGGGTTGTGGGGGCATGGGTTCTGCGCCCCTCCCCTCGCCCTGGTGACCGGCCTTGACCTCCCCGCAGGTGCGCGCAGGCGCTGCTGGAGCACGGGGCCTCAGTGCAGCGCGCGGGCGGCGCGGGCCGGGACACGCCGCTGCACGTGGCGGCGCAGCGCGGCCTGGACGAGCACGCGCGCCTCTACCTGGGCCGCGGGGCGCGCGTGGACGCGAGGAACGGCCGCGGCGAGACGGCCCTGAGCGCGGCGTGCGGCGCGCCTCGGAGGCCCGACGAGCACGCGCGCTGCCTGCGCCTGTGCGCGCTGCTGCTGCGGCACGGCGCGACGGTGGACGCGCGCGACGAGGACGAGCGCAGCCCGCTGCACAAGGCCTGCGGCCACGCGCGCCACGGCCTGGCGCAGCTCCTGCTGCGGCACGGCGCCGACGCGGGCGCGCTCGACTACGGCGGGGCCTCGCCGCTGGCCCGCGTGCTGCAGACGGCCGCCTGCGTGCCCGAGGCCGCGCCGCAGCGCACCGTGCAGGCGCTGCTCAACCACGGCTCCCCCACCGTGTGGCCCGACGCCTTCCCCAAGGTAAGGCGGGTGGGCTGGCATGTGCCACAGGGAACCCAGGAGCGTCCCCCTGGGAGCCGCCCCGCATGCAGCCTCGCAAACTACAATGAGCCCAGACACCCCTGGGCAGATTCGGGGGTGGAAGGTTCTGCATTTCTAACAAGCTCCCAGAGGAGGCCACACTTTGAGGACCAAGGGCCTAGACGCCTCCTAGTAGCTACAGTCACAAGAAATTTCAGAGGAGGTTGCCATGTCAGTAGGCACACCAGAACGGATCCCTGGGGATGCCAAGCACTGATTTCCACGGTGCCGTCATGGCTCACATCGTATTTTGGCAGCCCATCTTTTGGTGTAATTGTCAGAACGGTGAAAACAAGCCTCTTGTGGTGTCTGGCATTTGATCTGAAACAAAATTACCCGACCTGGGTAATTTCATCCACCTTATCAATGATAACACGTCAGGCCTTTGCACATTCCTCTCACTCTCTCCTCGCCGCTGCATGACAGGTGTCACGTTTGCGTTTCAACCAGGTGGTATGCCCTGCTCTGGCTCACAGCCCTGTCGCGATGTGACCCCCGCCTCCCTGGATCCTGCCTTTGCAAACCTGGCTCTGAGCATCTTGTCACTTTTCTACCTGTCAGAGCTACCTGAAAGAGGAATGCTGAGAAAATACTCAAAGTGCTTCCCAAAAAAGGTTCTCAAAATACTGGTTGTTCTCCCCAAAGACTTTGGTGCAGGAAATCATAGCCTTAGATGTAAAATTTTGGTGTGTTTAATTTAAAAATTGCCCCTGGTGCATAATACACACCAATCATATGAAAAAAAAGGGGGGGGGGGCTTGGTAAATTTTGAACAAATACCTGAAAAGCTGTTATCCAAGAGAACATTTTAGATGCTTGAAAGGGTGAGGTTCACACATTTCTCTCAGATGTGCTTAGAGTGTGTCTGTCTTTAAAAGACACAGTGGACAAGGTGTCTTTTAAACAACTCCCCCTGAAAAGCAGGATGATGCTATGCTTTTGTGACACTATGTCACTCTGTCCTTGAGTGGCACTGGTCTCCATGTGGCAGATCCTCAGGAGGAAGTGCCAGTGTGCTTGTATTCTGCAACACCCTTTGCACTCATAATTTACATCCTAACACCCCACTGTTAGTACGTTTAGTTCACCAGCCTGTGACACAGATACAAGACTCCCCCACTGCCCTTTCAGCTCTCCCCCTTTCTGCATTAAACCAAGATGCACCTTTAGTCACCCTGTCAAACTACAGAAAGAAGGGAAAGTGAAATTGACTGCTTCATCTGATCACTCACAAATGGAAACTATCTGGGGTGATTCCTTTTGAAGAAATAAAAGGAATATGTTTCAGTAGTGACTGGAAATAACCTTTTGCAACCTTATGTCATTTCTGTTTGAGCAACCTACACCCAGCTTGTCAAGTTTTAGGGGCAGCATCACAGTCCTCATTCCTGGGGACAAGGCAACTAGGCCTGAGCTCTGTCTCCAGGCTGTAGGAACTCCCAAACCTGGACCTAGAAATGCAGGACAAGGGACGGTGCTGCATCTGGGTCTTCAAGGGCACTGCCTGGGATCCCCAATACTCCGCCAGCTACATGAACGGGGTGTAGTCTGTGCTGCCCATCCTGGGTCTAGGTTGGAGGTGAGTTTGGGTTTACTGAGTGCAGTGTGTAATAGCTGGGCCCCTAGGAGCATTTGGCCCCTGGTGTAACAATGAATCTTCTGTCAACTCTACCACAGTGTGGAAAGAATTAGACTTTCTTTGAGAAATCTTAACACCTTTAGGCTTTCACCAAAAAACTCAGTGCCTTCAGTGGATGCAGACCTTCAATCAGTGTCGGTTAATTGAATGCAAAGGATTCCAGCAACTTCAGGGCCCATGACCTGCCTTCAGTCTCTGGACATTCCCGACATCCCCACACCTAGGGGGTGCTCCCACGCCTGGCCAGGAGAGGAGGGCAGATGGGGATGTACTTACCGTATCCAGAATCCTCTCAGCCAAGGTAACCATGCCTGCCAGTTCTCACCTTCCCCAGGGACAACCAGACAACACACTGTGGGGATCCAGAGGTAATGTACTTCTCCACCCAGGTTCCCAGCCAGCAATCCTCCAGGGAAGGAGTCCAATCACCAAGTGACATCAAAGGGACAGATCCTACTGGACTCTGCAGCCCTATGGAGTGTGCAACAAACACTCAAGATGCTCAGCAGGCAAGCACCGAGCCACCAGGAATGTCGCAGAGCACAGCCACCCTGGGTAGCAGCCGTACTTTAAATAGATGTAAAGAGACACCCACGGAGCTCAGAATTACTGAGGCAAAAGGTTTCACAGCGAGCTTGTGACATAAATCACAGTTCCCCATGCCCAGACAAAGGCGCCATCACCGCAGCAGACAGAGGAAAGCATCCATCCGAGCCTTGATCAGTGCTCTGCCACGGGAATCAAAGGGTGTCAGGGCTTCGAGCTGGCGTGTTGACAATGCCAGCCCCTTCTGCCCGGCTGACCGCTAGTTCACACCAGAGGCAGAGGCACAGGCTCTGTGCAGACCAGCTGCAACCCAGGTTGAGTTCTAAATTCTTGAAGGTGTCAGGACAGGCCCAGACCTGTGAGGAGCTCCAAGGAGCCAGGAGAGGCACAGGAATGTGGATCCAACCTTGTTTGGCACCTGCTACAAGCTGACCTTGTGGGTTATGCTTAATCTGAAATAAAGGCTTTGTTTGAGTTTCTCTGTCCTCTTCCCCTTTGGTAGCTAGAAGTGGAATTCATGGTACAGTAATGAAGCTGAGCCCTTCCCACCTCTTTGAAGAGGACATTCCTAGACCACCCCAAAAGAGAATGTTAGAACCACAAAGAGGGCTGGGAGGGCCTCAAGTCCAGCCCCTTCCCGAAGGGACATGACCTACCCAGCATCACTGAGCTGGAGGGTGGCAACACTAGGAACCAGCCCATGTCTTCTCACACAAACCACTGAGCCCCTCTGCCTCCTCCTCAAGTGTGCATTTGGGGACCATCTCCTTGAATCAGCACTCAGATTAAGTGACCGGCTCCATCTGTCCCCAGAGATCTCCTCTGGGCACTTTCCATTCACATTCTTTCTTCCTCCAACCTCAACCCCTGGTTGCACAGAGGCACTTCTGTTACCTGTGGAGCAGAGGCGAGTTGCACCCAGTGGCAGTGTACCTGCAGGTGGCTATAAATTATTCAAACTCAGACTCACCCAGGAATCAGGGAAGTACAGGAAGGCCAGCGGTGAACGATTTGCCCCAAGCCACTAGGCACCAGCCTTGCTTCCCTGAAGTGCTCATTTATTTATTCATTGAATAAATATTCTTAGGAGCTTCTTGCTGGGGTCACAGTGGAGACAGGACACATCCTGCCATCGTGGAGCAGTGTGTCTGTGAGTCAGACAACCCCACACCAGCACTAAGCTGTTGTGCTAGAAGTACAACAGAGCCAAGAACCACCTCACCTTGGAAGTGCCAAACAGAGGGCCTGGGAACCCTCCAGCGCAAGCACACAATGAGTGAGTCCAGAACTGAAGCCCCCAGAAAGGGTGGCATTCCAGACAGAAGGAACAGCATGGGAAAATGCCCTGAGGCAGAACTCACATTGCAATGTGTGCTGGTGGGAAGATGTCCCGGTAGCTGGAGAGGAAACAGCAAGAGGGAACCAGGTGAGACTGGACAGCTAGGCCTTGTTAAGGGTTTGGGCCTTTGCCTTAAGAACAATGGGAATCTATATTATTTTAAGTGAAGGAGGTGACATAAGCGAAATTTGTGTTTGAAATGATCCCTCTGCTTGCATATAAAGAAGCTGGAGTAGAGGGCTGAGGCAGAACCACAAGCCACCGTGCAGATCCACAGGAGGGATGCAGATAGCTTGAAGAGCAGGATGGAGGTAGATGGAAAGAATGACAGGCTCCAGAAGCATCTGCGAATCCCTGGTCTTGCCTCACCTGGGCATTGACAGGTCCCTAGAAATAGGAACCTCAGGTTCACCCGTTTTCTTTGTCACCGAGTTACAGAATTAGGCAAAACAACTTCACACATTTACCCCGATTTCACAGGATTTTAGCAGGAGAATCCTGGGGTAACGGTGGCCAAAACCCAGGGCTCCGTTTCCTGGCTGCACTGCCTGCAGGGGATGGGGGAGGCATCAGAGCAGCCTCTGTTTTCTTGTCCTTGTTTTATTTCTCCATCTACATATAAACCAATGTGCCTGTGTGATTTTTCCCCTTAATTTTCTTTCTGCCGCCTCATTAGCTGGGACGGTGCCCGGACACTAACGACATCACCGGCAGAGTAATGTGGCAGCAGCCGCTTCTCTGCAGACAGCAAGGAGGCGGCCGAGATTTTTAAACTGTGTTGGCGTAGAAATAATGAAGGCAGCCAGCTGCCTGGCAAACACGAGGGGCCCGGTGGGTGGGGGTGCAGGGGTGGGAGCCCCAGAGAGGTGGAACAGAGGAGAGACAGAAAATGAATTCCCAGAGACAGGCAATAAGACTTTGTCACACTCCGTGACCCAGGGGGGCGGGGGCGGGGGCAGGGGAGGAGAGGGTGGTGGCTGGGGGGTGGGAGACAGCTCTTCCCTGGTGGGGGGATGTCTGTGGTCACGTGCAGTCCTTGGGAGCCATTTAGCATTTTGCAGAGAAGTGACAGGGCCCGTCAGAGTTAGCAAGGCCAGAAGCAGCAGGAATTGCAGGGACGTGGTCCGGTGTAAGCAGCCTTGTCTGTGGGGCCAGCATGACAGTGCCATGGACTTGATGTAGTTCTTCCCCAACAGGAGGGGGATGGATGCACTGTGACAGCCGTGCACAGGAA